GTGAAACGGAAAAATGAACAGTGTAAAGGAAGAAAAATCAAATTCTCATTTTACATTGGCAGCTCTTTTGCACCGCCCCTTCCTTCTAGACACCTTTGGGGACCATTTAAACAGGCTACGGCTCGATGGTATTTAAGCGCCTGCCTTGCAGTGGACGCAGAACCGCGTCTTAAGCATGGGTTAAACAAAGGTGTATCGAAAAGAATTTCGCCACCATCCGTAGGAGAAAGAGTGACTAATTGAAATCTACGTTTAGTTATGAAGCTTGTTTAATGAATTGTTTTTGTAGTGGTAGTGAGGGAATCGAAATATCCTAATTTCTGTGTTCTTGTATACTCAGTGCCTTGAAATACCGCTAACAGTCATCAGTAATTGTAGTTCTCAAAATGTGAAGACAGATATTACTTAAAAACCAGCTTTACTACATTAAACCGCATTGTCAGCATCATAATTGATACATGGACTACATCAAGACTCTACGTCACCGAGAAGCAGTGTTTGATTATGATTGCTTTGAACTGTTTCATGATAGGAGAGTATGATCGCGTGGCTCAGTTGCCATTTTTGGAGCCACAACAAGCGCTGCGTGGGTGGTAACCTATGTTGGTAGCTTATCACGTGATCAAGTAGGACGTTTATGCGAGGAGGTCATGTGAGGGATGAAAGACCATTACGTGAGCTCGGTGGCGTATCGTGTAGAGTGTTTGAAGTAGATATACTCTCTCTGACCTCATCTCGCAGGCATTGATCTACAAACGAAATCTTTTACTTCTGACGGTGCCTAAACATATTTTCTTAGGGCATTTTCTACGATCCAACTGCCAACCCTTGGGTCTATGTTGATGTTTAAAAAGCGAATGGATTTTGACTGCTTAAAGGAAGGTGTGACTAGATGTTTTATCTACTATCCAACTTCCCTGCAACTACTTCTAATGTGTCGTATCAGAGACTTACCATTTTACACATATGCCTTTCGTCTCTGGGATCAAGCATTCGAACACAGCTTGTTTTCCTTTCAGAACTTTCGTATCTTTAATTTTCGTTAACATAATGGGAGCCTTTGATGATACCGTTTCCATGGCTTCTTCCTGAAAATTTAATTTTTAAATTTTGGTGTGAAATTTTCAGTAGTTTTTCAGAACCTCCATGGTCATATCCTCGTCAAAAATACTAGCTGCAACATCAGTGCCTGCTTCAGAGCCCATTTCTTCGTTGCTGGTAGCAACAGCTTCCAGTTCGCTGTACTCGCTGTACTCTTCATAAGTATATCTGAAGCGAAACAGCTGATGTTTAATAGAAAACCAAAAGATTCTGATTGCAGTTTTCCATTTATTATTGCACGTCTTCTACTTGGTTTTCGCAATCCTGGGATTAAATCAATCAATTTTCCTCGTGCATGCCAATTAAAAAGATCCAAGTTATTTATGACCTCCCTTTACTATTGTGAAACCATTTGGTCGTTTCATTTATATAGCATTTAAATCCTTGACATAAACTGCGTCATCTAATGGCTCAAGTACCTACCTGTATGGCACTCACATAACGAAACTGCCGGTTAAAATTATATAAATGTGTATTAATGCTACTTCAAAATAAATATTTAAACTAAGATGTTCAAGAGACTTTAGAAAATTACCTAAAGTCACCGAATTTACTGTTATATTTTTTCAGCCCTTGAAAAATATCTTTTGATGAAACTCGTTATTATTTTCAGTAGAGTTTTGAAATGGTTGCTTAACACTGTCGTTAGGGGTGGCTATATGAATCATCAAAAGATCAATGCAGGCAGTGAATGAAAAACTAAATGACAATTGCACTTCACAATGATATCCATATGGACCAACTTCAATTTCAGTTCCACATCTAACCGGAGAACTCTGTTGCATTTCAGGACCATTCTTATCAAACGAAAAAATTGTGTCAGTATTTTCTGGTTACAGTTGAAAGCTAGCAATTTGCTAATAAACCATTAACACCAGGGCTTATTTTGCTTTCATTATATCTCGAAGTTTTAGTTATGAATTTTTGGTCATGTACCTGATTGACTGAATGTTTCTTCAGTACTTCTTCTTCGTCATATCTAATTTGATTTTCTGTTTCAGTTCGCTCCTCTTGATTACAGCTGCAAATGTTATAATCAAGAGTTTAACATAACGTTTAATGCCGTGTTAAAATCAAGCAAAAGAACTGCTGCAGAAATGCAACAGTAAACGAGGTTCTGTTAAACGAGTTTTGTTTCTACCATGATTTAACGGGTATAACCCTTTATGATTAAGTTAACCTTAATTATAAGTTTCCATCCTGACCCAAGCTAGAAATCTGGAATATATTAATACAGTTAACCATCGATTAATTTCATAATATTTCAGAACAGTCGGCACTTACTTTGATCCTAACTGCATGTTAGCCGTGCAAGAAACTTCGCCAGCTTCGTTTTCGGCTTTGCACACCAATTCTCCAACACATTTAGAGTTGAAACGCTTGATGATTAGTGTAGAAGTACTCTCGTCGGTTGCAATGCTGAAGTTGTCACTATTTCCGATTATTTCGCCGTTCAAGTACCAGACGATGGTCGGGCACGGATCGCCCGTGAACTTCACCTTCTGGGTTACGCAATCGCCTTCCATTGCCGCGAGGTTGTTTATCCACTCAATGAAATCCGGAGGTATGCCCTTAGGCGTAACCGTCAGTTTCGAAGAGGATCGGGCTTCGCCATACTCGTTCTTGGCTATGCAAATAATCTCGCCCGAATAGTCCAATGTAATGTCCTGAACTACGGCCGTGTACGTGGTCTGCTCCTTCTTGATCTGGACGTTCTTAGACTCAGTCAACTGTCTGCCATTGATGTACCACGTGACATCTGGAGTCGGAGCACCGATTAGCACAGCTGTCAGTTTCAGTGTGTCCCCTTCTCTGCATACCGCATCTTCCAGTCCTTGAATAAACTCTACCGGAATCTGACGGTTAACAGTTATCATGGCTGAGGTCTCGGCTGTGCCTGCCGAATTCGTGGCAACGCACTTGATACATCCGTTCATTTCAGTGCACACGTCGGCTATGTCCATGCCACACTCTTCGCTGTCGTAGGTCAAAGTAACGTCCTCAGCTGATACGATTAATCGGTTGTTTATGTACCACTTTACTTCCGGTTTAGGTTGGCCGACTATTTTCAACTTGAATTTGAGGCTATCTCCTTCAAACAGGCTCACTGAGCTGAGTGACGTCAGAAACTCAGGTTTCCTTGGAGGCGTCTTTGGCTTGACCGTCAGTGAACAATTCGACGATACTCTTCCTGCTTTGTTAAACAGTGTCACCTCAACGGTGCCGTTATGCTTCTCAGACACTGGAGAGATTTCTAGTGAGTAAGATCCTCGCTCGTTTTCCTTCGTTTTGCATTCAGGCATTGCTTCGCACTTAACACCGTTGATTTTCCATTGTGCTTCGCATTCTGCGGCCTCATTGATATTGACTTCTAGCTTCGCGGTTTCTCCCTCCAGAACCTCAATGCTTTGCAACGGCAAAGCAATCTCAGGCATAACCTCTTCCTTTGGAAGTGACACTAAAGTCTTGCATGACACTTTCCCAACAGCATTCTTAACCATACAAGAAATCTCGCCGCAGAATTCCTTCTTGAAGCTCTTGATTTCCAGCGAATACTTTCCCTTCCCATCGCTAAACATTCGGAATGCACCTGAATCGATTATTTCTTTCTCGTTCAAGAACCAGTGAACTTCATTTGACAAAGAAACCGAAGCTACAGTTTCCAAAACGAGTGATTCGCCCAGATGTCCATATGTCGACAGTGGCAGAGGCGAAGAAAATGTTGGCTCTGCTGGTTCCAGTACTTTGACCTCAGTCGACGTCTTTGATAATCCACTTTCAGTTTCGCACTCATAACTCACATCTCCGTTGAACATGGAGGATATAGGATAAATTTCAAGCGTAGAGGTGCATTCGCTGTCGGTAATTTTCACGCTTTTCGACGGTTTTAGCAGTTTGCCATTTATTCGCCACTTTCCTGGCCTCAGCACTTGTTCAGCGGCAAAGCTTACAGTAAAAATCGCTTTACTTCCTTCAGTCATTTGGGATTGTTCAGGCAGTTTGGTTTTGAAAAATTCTACCTCTTCTTTGAGTGACAAAAGACATTCGCAAGACGAGTGACCAAGACTGTTTTCAGCGGTGCAAGTGACATTGCCCGATGTGTCTTCCTCCACTTTCAGTATTTCCAAGACATAGACGCCATTCTCCCTAGTTATTTTTCGGAACCTTGATACATCTTCGTCTTTCACGTACTTTCCGTTCACCGACCATTCTACGTGCGCCAGAGGCAAGGCCTCAATCACGACCTAAAACGACTCTTAATGTCAAATTTTCAGAAAACAACCAATTTCATAATTTATGCTACTTCCAATGCTTAGTTGCTGCCCATCTGGCGATTCCCAGATCGTTAACTGCAACAAATCATCAGCTTTTGGTAGGCAGGGAGAACCCCACCCCCGACACGGCCAGATTCGAGATTGATAAGTTCGATCCTCAGATGAAAAGTCACGTGGACAATAACAGACTCAGGACGAGGTGAAAGCGACCAATTACTTTGAAGAGAAAAGATGCCGCCAATGCCCCCCGTGCTGTCACCTTTAGGCGTCGGTTAGTCTTCAAAGGGTAAAAGAAACAACTTCGATATAAAACCTGACGGAATTAAAGGACCCGTCCGTTCGAAGTTTCAAATACCACCGTCAGCTCTGTCAATGAACGGCTA